GCTCGCTCGCGCCTCTTTGTATCGGGATAGAAAAGCCGACGTGGAAGGCCGAGAAGAAGAAGCAAAGACGCAGAAGAAGAGAAAGAAAAAGGGCCACGGACGGTCCGGTTGGTCGAACTGGCCGAGTAGAGCGCTCGGCACCGCTCCTGCCTGCTAAATTGAACTTAAGGGGACTCTAAAAAGATTTTACTGATTTCGGTGAATGAGAGATCGCGCGATCCTCGCAATCCGCCGTCCGCCGAGTTTCGCACCCCGGCACCGGTTTGATTGATTCAATAAATGTTTCTCTACGATTCTTTAATTGCCGGAGCGGTTCGCGTGATGTCGTGTATTAGAATTAAATACAGGGTATCCGTGAAACAAATAGGCACTTTGGGCGAGCGTGTTCTCTGATCCGTTTGGAGTTCATCTTTCGTAGCGAGAGACGAAAGACCAATTGTTTCCCGTATTATGAGTGATTGACAACCAATGTTATTATGCTTGTTTCCGAAGAATAAAAGAGTCTCATTTTTCATATATCTCTAAATGGATTGTGTTTTAGACAAGTTACAATGTGAAACTTGGTCATTGGGATGTCTAATGTCAAAAATTAAGCAGTTATGAATGAAATCGTCTAATCGAATGTTCGTGTAGGAAAAGAACTCCAATTTGGAGAAAGAATATTTGTTGGTCTTGTCTCACGTGTGTCTATTTTGAATAGCTCACAAAATGATACAGCAGAGTTATATGTCTATTCAGATAGACAGAACCCAATTCAATAGAATCATATTTATAATAGTTAATAAAGTGTACATAAAGATAAGACTAGAAATTAAGCTAAAAATATGAGAAAATTATTTGATAATCCCTTTCCTGCTTTCCTCTTTGATCGTATAAGTGTTGACAGGTGAAATTTACTTCTCAGTTTCTCCTCCGGTATCAATTTATCAATATTAAAGACACTGTTACGAAAGTCACATTAATCCTATGCGACGTGATTGCCTCCAAGTACTGACACAATTGTTCCTCACAGGTACACGTCGCGTTTGCGCGGTATGTATTTTTCAGTTATGCTACTTATGTGAAATAACGACTATTAATCCGCAGCAATCTAGATAGGCAGGATGTCGATAGGATTGGATTACACGTTGCATGCAGTCGCGCACAATTTAGTATCGTCGTGTACTGCTAAGCACGGTAAATTGGTTGACGCGATTTATTACAATTATCGGTGCTCACATTACAGGCTCGCGAAATCCGCTTCTGTGAAATTTCGAAGGCACGAAAGCGACTCATCACTCGGTGAAAGCAAATTGTTTCTCGGTATTATATAAATTCATATTTGCATCACAAATCGGCAGGTAATATCGATTTACGACGTATAGAAATGACAGAGAAATATTACGTTCATGTATTTACGAAGTATCTATGTAATGTAAGATGAATTTTCATGCAATTTTTGCTACGTTTCCTTTACGTAACATGGCATTTATAACTTTCATTTATAAATAATTTATAAGTGAAAACTTTTTTTTAATCTTATCCTACTGATAGAGTAGCGAGATCAAAATTATATTTCAAAAATTATATTGCTAAATATTAATATAATAATAATCAATACACTTCTTACGATATTAAATAATGTAACTTTTATTTATTTTTTTATAAAACTGAAATAATTAAATAATATACTTTATATAATGTTTTCAATCTTTAGCATCAATGGAAATTGAAGAGCATGAAAATGTCTCGAAACACAATGTCTACGTATAACGATCCGTCGGATGCGTCCGGTGAAGCAATTCTATATCGGCTAAAAACCACGAACATGTGGAAAGAACAAAAATGACATGCGCCACAGAATTCAGTGGTCTTCGATTCTGTTCTCTTTAAATTGAACCTATTCAATAGAAACGTATACGTACACGCTCGCTTTTTCATTATTTGTCAATTCGTACAAAAGATTATGACAACAATAAGTTATAGTCTGGGTTGTTTGGAATTACTGTAGTTCGCCCACAAATTTCAACACCCATATAAATTCTAATAATAAAACAAAAATATTCTTATTCGACAATAAATTAATAATTCAAAATATTATAAATTACTGCAGTGAATTACTTCAACTTATACATATATATTATATTGGTAGTCTATTATAATATAAAGATAAAACTCTCTCTATATATATAATTATTCTTAATCGCAAAATAATAGAAGTTTTATGCCATTCCTATCTCTATTTACATTTTGCACATATATTATTTATTCAACGTTTCACGACACAGGTATTTCATTACAAGAAACGATTAAGATAATTGATTAAAAAAAAACAGTACAGCATTTTTTTCATTTGCATGTAATAGTTTTTAAACTCTGATATTTCATCTTTGCATATAATAGTTTTTAACCTTTGCAATTCAATAAAATTTATAATAGAAAGGTAATATATATCGAGCAATGCTAGTTGTCAACGAAGATTGTCGCAATTATTATACATAGCTAAATCGATTCTCAAATCAGACTGTAGATAATAATCTGTATATAATAGACGTGATATTCTTTTATTGCAGACCTTACACGATCAATAATATACTGATCAGTAATATTAATTCAGTAATACTGACAATATATACGCATCAATAATTTTATAACTGTATACACAATCAGTATTATTGACAATATTTCAGCTCAGTTTTATGTACACTATAGATTTTACAAGGTTAATAATTTGTCAGTATCAATGGATACTGACAATATTATTGACGGTGACCTGGATTTCTTGATTCTCGAGCATCAGTATCGCTGTGATAGAGGATACTGATGCTCGAGAATGAAGAAATCTCACTATCAATATTCTACATCAATCAATCAATATTAACCATGTATAATCAATAGTATTATCAGTATTTATTGGTACTGACAGTATTATTAAATATGCAAGGTCTCTATAACGGCTATAACGTTATAAAATAGGCCAACAATCATTATCTACGGCAGTAATCATCATTTTTCTTTCCGCATTTGATTAATTCCATGTCTGATTTATTAGAGATACTTTCGTTTGTTGGATTAATTATAGTGTTTGAGAATCTGTCGCGATTACACGAGAATTAAGAATTTCTCTTTTATATACGTTGTGAAAAAAAAACAATACTCTAATTTAAAAATTTGATTGTAGAATATATAATTTTTTTATAAAGTCTAATATATTTCACATTTACAAATTATATCTCACCAGCAAGGCGATAACTTTGTCGCATCGCAACTGGCAGGTATAATTTACACGTCGACATTGCCGGCTTAACTCATCCGCAAGGTCTCGCAAATACGTATTTAAAAAGAAAAACTGAAAATATATATCTTTATCGTTATTTATATCGCGCGTATTTATATTTTATACGCAAATAACCGTGCGATAATACAGGCAAGTAGAAAGACGTGGATAATAATAGAGGAAGTAACTGACAAACGCAAATTATAGAGATGTTACGCATAATGTATAATGCATAATACTACGGAAGACGAGTTAGACGACTACGAGTCCTCGCGTCGGTTCCTCGTGCGGAATATATCGCTTGCTATCAGATGTATTTGCGCGCCGCGCCGCACGTCTCTGAAAGTCGTCCGTCCCGCGTGATCGAGACGCGGCCGTTAACATCCCGGCCGATAATCCGTTCCCAAGACGAGTTTCGCTCGCGGCGGAGGCCGAAATCCACGCTCCGGGTGGGACGAAATCACGGTGGGCCCTCGTTAGTCGCCCTCCGCGTCGTGGAGGGTCAGTCCCACGTCCCACGTCATTCTCTCGAGCGAGAGAACGCGGCTTTCGAGACGGAGAGAGAAAGAGGGAGATAGAGGAGCTTTAAGATAGGAGCTACTTCAGGGTAGAATAAAGAGGGAGAGAGGAAGGAGAGAGAGTAGAAGGGGGGTGAAAGGAAGGAAGGAAGGACGCCCTGGTCGCGCCCGCCGCGACGCTGCGGGATGTTAAGTACGTCTCGTAAAAATTCCATCCCGTGGCAGAGCGGCGGTGCGGCGTCATTTTGCCGTGCCGGCTACGTTAGGCGGGATCCGATCTCGCCCTGCCCACGGATCCGCCAAAGGGGCGCGTTCTCGTAACGGAGGTGGTACCCGGTGCCGTGGCAGCGGCTTCGAAACGTGTTTCTGAACTCGAACGGCTCCACCGTCCTTCTACGCGTGCGCTAAGCCGCTCGTGAGGAAAGCGCCTGCCCAACGCCGGTGCCGGGACTGCCGGGGGATCCCCGTCCACCGTACCATTTCGCGTCACCGGCTTCGACTGGCCTGAGAGGAGGCACCCGGCTGCCTCCTTAGCGCCGAAACTCGTTACAACGTCGACGTATTGACGTTTCGCGCGCGTATCTCGCTCGCTGCGGATATCATCCTAGTGACGCACGGCATCAGAAACGCGTTTCTTTCTCCCTTTCTGTTGTGCTGGTGTGATAGCTCAGTGAGGATAGCAAAGAGGACTGATATTCGATCAAGTTTCTACTCTCGGCAGAAACACAGGTTGTCGTTTCAGGACATTCGAGAACAGAAGCGTTCCACAGTGCGCTCGTTATGAAGCCCTGGTATCATATTTTGGTGTTCAGTTTCGAACGGACGACGGTGGCAGTGCGCTAGAGTGAAGGAAGATCTCACGAGTCGACGTTTGATGGAATGATCGATCTCTCGTCTACGAGTTGATATTTGACGAAAGTCATTGGAGCTTGAAAGAGATGTTTCGACGAGAAATAGGAGACGGATCCGGAAGCCAATGATGTGACTCGTGTGGAGGAGCACGATGACGGAGACGATGCGAGTGCGTTGACAGGTCATCGATAGCGATTAGTGCGATTGGTTTCGTGACTGTGGCTCCCCGCGAAGATTGTCAAGGACTTGAATATGTTAGGCCAGTGAATGAGACTCGATAGACCGTGTGGTGATCCCGTGAACAGTTTTAGAACGAAAGTGCGTTATCGAAAGAATGCGCGGTGCTTGAAGGATTAACTTGCCGTGGCCTCGCGACTGGCTGTTAAAAGCCACCAGGCGAGTGTCTCGAGCTTTTTAGTTTAGCTCCTTCTATATCCGCGCGCGGCATGTGTACCACGGAGATGACGGAATCGTACACGATGTCGCCGTCGACAACGGTATCTTCCAGCGCCGTGACGCCCGGCTGCGTGAGCGGTTCGTCTGCACTCCGACGGACATCGTGCAGAGGCTCGCCGGGTCGAGATGTCCAAGACGACGAAGACGAGATCTCTGTAGGCTGTCCCAGCCCGCTGCCGCTGGTAGTAGCGACACCCAACACGGAAGACGAGTTGGCCTCCTCCAGGGAGGATTACGCCGACCGTCTGAGCCCCAGGAGAACCTATCCACGAGACTCGATGACGGAGGATGAGGAGAGGGATTATTCCCGCAACGGGGAATACAGGATGTCGAACGGACGAACAAGTAGCAGAACTCGCGAGAGCGGTGATTCGGTCACAACGCTCAGAGACGACGAGGAGGACGAGGAAGAAGAGGAAGAAGTGGACAGCAGGACCGGTAGCAACGGAGCAGCGGCCGCTGGTACCACGGTTGATTACTTCAAGCCGCTGAAGCGCCTGAAGATGGTGCAGATACAGCATTCGGATGAGGAGGATGAGAGAGAACGGGAATCCAATGATCGTGGAGTTAAGTCTTTCAGTATCCTCGATATCCTGTCGCATCGACCGAAGGCAAAGATCGTCCGTCCCTGGGACACGACGGATTCCGGTCTCGGCCATCAACACCGTCATCATCTACAGCAGCAGCACCATCATCATCATCATCATCATCAGCACCATCTGCACCACCATCATCACAGTAGTCACCCGAGTCACGCGACCGGACCCCGGGACCTCTCACTGATGGGTATGTCACTCGCGTCTATGTCCGGTTCCATCAGCGAGCCGCCCCTCAGCAGCTCCTCGTCGTCCGGAAGGAGCTCCGTGTCGGATTCCGGTAGCCCGGACCCGCTCGCCCATCATCACCATCATCACGCCGCGCTTCATCACGCTGGCATTCATCCCGGCCTGCATCATCCGGCGCTCCAGCAGCCGCAGCAGCAGCAGCTCAAGAGGAAAATGCCGCAACAGCACGGTTCCCACGCTGGCCAAAACGGCAAGAGAACTACAGGGCAGGGCAGTCCCTTGGACGCGCTCTTCCAAATGACCAGCAAAACCTTCGACGCGGGCGAACACAGTCAAGGTGAGCCTTCACAGATTTTCATATTTCTTTTGTTTGTAATATATCCTCCGAACTTGTACTATGTCCTCGAATTACATTTCTGATTCAAATTAAAAGGACAGTTTGGAGAAAATTGCTATATCAAGTTAACGACAATTCTTGAGATGTGGCTGTATTAAATTTTTCTAGGAACCAATTTTGTATTTTAATGAAATGTCTAACGTGTTTTACGATTTGTTTAATTATCAATAAACAAAAATTAGTAATTAGAAAGATCAAAAAACACGAGCTAATTTTTGCTTAGCAATCTCGAGCTAGAAATTTTATGTATTTTAATTTATTAATAAACAGTTTTGTAAAATCAACTGTTATTTAACAGATTAGCTTAATATTCTAATTATATTTCTCTATATTACATAATTTTATTATAATACAATGTAGATAAATAATCCTTGAAAAAGAAATATTATACATAGAACACTTTAATTTTTATCTTTATATTTTATCCTTGGTATCATAGCAAAAATAATTGGTTAATGATTGATTGATGATAATAAATACGAAATTATTTGAAAATTGATTATCCTATCAGATATGATTAGACTAAATGAAGAATCAGAGAGAGTTCCAGTAATGATACTTATTTATCTCAATCGTTGATCTTCCCATTAAGTAATTCTCGCTCAGTAAAGTACTGTTCTTAACACAGCACTTAAATATGTTGGGCACACTATATATTTGCAAAGTTTTTATGCGGTATGCTGTGTCTTACTTTGCGTGATATAAGGCGTTCACGATTTAAGTCAAGCGACGGCAACATCATCTAACTAAAACAGTTTCGAGCGAATAATCTTATTTTTCATTTTTTTCGTTTTCGCCTTTAATTGCGACGTGTAATTTAAATGTTCATGGCGTCATGGTTTCTGCAACATCAATCTCTTGCGGAAAAATACCTAACCGTGATATAATCAGCTATACGAAAGAAATGCAAATCGTTTGACGATGAGTTTCGGATATTCGGCCGTGCAGTTTCAAGATTGCTTAAAATACCACCGTTATATCGCGTTTAGATCCCGAGAAATGAGATAGAATGGGTGCAAAGCGTGTCTGTTGATCGCTTGCGAAACCTATCGCTCGTAATCGGTTAAATATCGGTGATGAATACGGGTTTTAATTTTGATTGATGCACTTCAAAAGAGTCACGAAGCGCTAGCCGCGCTCAACTCTTTCCAAAGCAGTGCTTTATTTTATTCCTTTATAGTCCTGTAACCTGACATACGGAACGTTTCGAATTTCGTGGCGCATTAGGTGTGGCAGGTGCCAAAAATACGAGTCAGCGAACGCTAATCCGAGCTCACTCGCTCGAATACTTAGGATCCGCAATCTTTCCGGACCTGTATGCCGCATCGTAAGTGACGGATCATTTATGAGTATCTAATATTAGACGTATAATACAATACCAACATTTCCATAAACTCGTAATCAATGAATATTAACACAATAGACGTAAGTAGGCAAAAAAGACTGCGAAGAATATATGAATGCACAAACGAGAAAAAAATAGAAAAAAAAAGTAATACGATAACAAAACATGATTCCTGCTATTAAATGCAATTTAATAATCGCAATGTAAATCGCAAATTATTGTAATATGCAGTAACACACGTTACAAGTTACTTCCATTATATTTAACATAGTATCATATCTATTAATATATGTGATCTTTGTGGCATCTGATTAATGATTTACTCTTTCGATCATCAGTTTTTAAAGTCCTTTGATTTTAGTGTTTATAAGATTTCATGTCTTTGAAATTAATTGCATTCAATTACGCAAACTGTGTATGTTTATCCAATAATGGGACGCGCGGGTTAATTAATTATTGTTAATATATATTGATTTTGCACGTTAATAATGATTATTAATAACGGATATTTACGTTTTGAAAGACGCATTATTCGTTTCATACAATGTCTGAACGATAATAGCAGATATGCAAGAATAGACACCTCTTTTCCGTTGTTCTCTTCGGGTTTCCGCATGACGGAAATACGCCGGGCGGTGAGTGTCGATCGAGATCACGGTTAAAGACCTGAATCGACGTGTTATGACGATCTTTAACTTTCTATTGATTCCTCACTCGTGGATCACGCATCTGCGATGTCCCGAAGCGACATGTGAGAGATTACCACAGTGAACAGCCGTTTCTTCCGTTCTGCTCGGCGCGTGACACACCTTCGTAATGTCAATAATAATGGCTTGTACAAGCGACGACCGGAAATATTTTGTAATTACCTGCAATATTTTTCGCACCGTTCTCACCAAACGAGTAAACGAGTCAACGAGTTAATTGTTTCGTTATGTCACATGTTTGATAATTTGCAAAGCCATTAGAATTTGTAGAAACTCACAAATATGATGTCAATCTTCTATTTTATAATATTCTTTATATGCAAGAACGCAAATGACTTGCTGTCGACATTCCACACTGTAATTTTAGTAATAATAAAATAACAGATATAAATTCTTTTCAGTATTTTAAAGATGCTTATTAGCATCAATAATATTAAATTGCTTGTTTCAATTTAATTTATGTTATTATGTATTCCAGCTACAATTTCGAACTGTGTTTTAAGACTGACAAATATTCGGCGCGCAGTTTGCTGGAACTAGAAATTATAAAAATTCACACAGAAATATTATTAGGCACCAAGGCCCCGCCTTGACCGAAAATGGCCTTGTTTGCTTAATTGTGTTGAAAATAGCAGATGTTACAAATGAAACATTATTTATTATTGTCGAAAAATTTAATTTTAAATATTACACTGAAATAACTAACGTCAAAAGCAGGATTACTCAATGGAAATTTTTCCCGCGTAGTTTTTACGTCAGAATTAAATGAACGTCAAAGCTCATTCGGATATTAAGATCGCAGGCTTTTACAAAAGGAAATTAATGCACGATCCCAGAGGCGAAATCACTTGACGCTTAATGCGAGTGCCGCGTATTGCGTTAATCGCTTTTCAGAAGCACGTTTCCGCGAATGGTACTAATATTAGCGGTGGTCGTTACGAGCTATACGCGCTGCTCTAGATGTGCCGTAATTAAATGACGAGATTTTTTTTCATACCTAGCGCGCGCGCGCGACGAACGGCGACACGCGTTTCACAGGCTGCGCTTATATACTTCTCCCGAACGGTATTATTATTAGGCATACACACTCGCGCGACGTCGATGCCGGGAAGTATTAGCTCTCAAAGGAGAGTGCTATGAGAGGTTGCCGCGACGATTGATGACATACGAGGGACAAGTGCGCGATTACACGATCAGTTTAATAGATAAGTACATCGGTCAGTCGTACGTCGAAGACCGTGCACATTTATCATCACGCGAATATCGATCGATTCATCCATTCGATTGCTTTGTATCGAACACTTTATCATGGAATATCATCGTATATTAGGTGTGCGAAGAGTTTACAGCGTTTAACAGGACCATGATATCGTTCAATTTGATGTTTGGATAGTGCGGGTACTCTCGATTAATTCGCAGTGACACCCTTTCACTTCTGTAGAATAGAAAAATTACTCGCTATCGTTCAGATGAATTGCTGTTTGTTATAGAAATAAAAATAAATATTCGTTGCATTATACAGGCTGTTCGCGAACTGATGGAAAGAGAGTGAGTTCTCTACATGAAAAAATAAGTTGAAAACTAGAATTCAGTTTTTTCATATAATAAGGCTTTGTGTTTTCAAGAAAATCAGTTTTACATATTCGACGAGTACGAATTAAATTGATAAATTAAAGCACCAGAACGTGTTAGAAAGTATTTATAAAAATTTATTTCGGAAAATAGAATTATGTATTCGACGCAATGAGCAACATTTCCAACAATTTATAAATTAAGAATGTTTCGTGAATATTTTGTTTTTATTGTGTATTCTCGATCACCTAATAATATAGTTAAATACACTTGTATACCTGGTGAATATTTATAATATTTAAAATAAATTTTCTCGAAAACTAAATTTCATATAAAAAAATTTTATTTCATGTTTTTAATTTATTTTTTCATGTAGAATCACCTCCTTCTTGGTTGAACTACTAGTTCACGAACATCCTACGTATCGACAGAGTAAATGGCAGACAAGCCACTAAAACAAAAATATATTTACATACATACTTTATCTATTATCTATAATATTATTGCTTACTTCACTCAATTTACGTTTTCATTCGAATTATCCTAGTTCAACAATCCTAATTAAAATTAAAGTCGGATCCCATACATTTATTACGTCTCCTCTCTATTCTTTCAATATTAAGCGAGCTTTCTCATTTTATAAGTGTTATCACGCAAATGTGACAGAGCAACGCTTATAAAACAAGCGATAAATAACGCCGACACTGTAATAAATTTTTAAGCTTTCAGTTATCGCGCTACCCTTAAAAAATATGGAAATTTACAGAATTGGAAAGTCTGCCCGTTTTCGATCTTAAAAATACATGGCCCTATTTTCTCGAATGCGTTGGCTCACGCTCGCTTCTGTCGGCACCAAAAAGTATCTTTTTCTTCGAGGGATTTTATATATATCGAACCTGCGGCGAACAATGATCACGGGAATAGAGTCCTTAAAAGTATCACTCACCCTTCTGATTTGGTTGACGTGTATATGTATATTGCTGTACCCTGCGTTATTACATAAATTTCTAATTTTACGATGATTATTATGGAGTTCGTCTCCGGTCTAGTGATCTTAATCCCGGCGACGCTATGGCGAATCCGATTTTGTAACAAAGTGGTCCTGAGTTACAAGAAACGAAGGGTTTTACGAGCCTTTCCGAAGACGAGTCGAAAAAAGTGCCGACATCAACGATGAGTTACATCTTCACCTTACGACCGGCATGCAACCAGATTTCTGCTGTGTCTAGGTCTTTGTCCAAATTTTCTTTTTCGGCGCTCAGATAATTGGATTAAAGAAAACGTAACCAAAACAGAGACGAAGTTCGTGTTTATAC